GGCGCTTTGCGGATATTAGCCTATATTTGATATTGTACAATGCCCATATTTAGTCATAGTGTTAACTTTTAATCTAAGAACAAACTTGATGCGGCTTCCTCTATTGGAAAATTTTGGTGCTTAGCTTTCACGAGTTTGGTCGCCCCACAGGCTTACCAGTTTGTGATTATTATGCAATATACTTGCGCCTCAGGTCCAGTGTTCTAAAATAGGTTTTAGTTGCACGTGCAGTCCAAAATAATGGGTGATATTAAGGAACTTGTTACTATGTTTGATATGCAAATTTAGTGGAATCTTGATTTCAAGAATGGTGCAAATTTATTGCACAGTAAGTTTCTATATTGAAACTAGTTGGCTGTGGAGGGGAAGATAAAACCAGTGCGATCGGACCATCTGTGATGCGTGTGAGCCCAACAGTCCCTTAGACTGCAAACACTGCTCGCTTTCCTGCTAGGCTTGGGCGGTTTTGAGCCATTGGTGCTCGGTGTGGTTCCAAGCCACACAACTTTAATGCTCAGGCATGATGTCGTGACAGATGAACAAAGAGAAGGAGAGCTCTGGTTCGGAATTCCAAATCTTTGAATGAGAATAGAATGTGCTCTCAATTTAAGTCAAGCTTGGGATGGAGAACAGGCTGCTTAAAACCCACTATGCCCGCTGGCTTTATGGGTGCACACGGGCTTGCAACAAATGGCTCCCTGTGGAGTTTTAAGGGACTGGATTTTTAGACAAACGGCTTCTGCAGGCTAAACTTTCAGAGAAAGCAGGTTAAAGGTGAACTTGGGAGATATAATACTTAACTCATAAAAGAAAGAGGTAGGAAGTAACTTTGTATTGAATGTTGAAAATATTAGTTAACTTTTAACTGAGAATGCCAAAGGACTGAATTTGGCAAATGCACTTTGCGTGTACAAACTTCTGGGGTACAAGAAAGGAAAAAAGACCTGGAAAATGTTTGTTGGAGTGGTAAGGTGGAGGATTTAAGGGATGTGCTGGAATTGGTACTAATGTTTATTGGTGAAGACTAACTAGCTTGTATCAAAATTTGGAGGAAAAAAAAGAGAGTTTGACATTAACTATGTCTGATATGTTTTCTAAATTAATAGAAATGGTTGAAGACTGATGTCGTGCTTAACTATCATAATAGTTTAGTTGTGGATTGCCTAGTTATAAGTCACATCGTCATTGTTTAACTAGAAAGGAGGAATACAAGTCTAAGTGCACATGGACAGAATCCTTGGATATGCATATAGTCCTGGCTAGTGTCTTTATAACTTTGGAATGAACGCAATTCTCTATAACAAGTATGTTAGAGATCCTCTTAGAGTTACTTCTGACTAGTGCATAACAAACAAGGTGGATATTCCAACTGCATATTGTCCTTCCAAGTCTTTGAACTTGTTCTTGTCCATAATTTTCTCATTCAGGTACTATTTACCGAATCAATGTTGATGTCAGCATAATAGCTTGTAGTAAAACTTTATTTCATGTTTCTCTGCTGCTTTCTAATAATGGAGCTGCACTATGTTATAGCTGGGCTCATTTGGATAAGATCAGACATAAGGCGAAAAAAGTTGGCATTCAAACATAAATATCATATATTTGCTTCCAACGGAAAACATCACAGTCCTGCTATTGTGTGTGAATGTGACTCTAAAGGACTTCCTATGTGAGACCCGGGTTAATGGTCAGCACTTTAGCTGCCAGCTAGTAAGCTGGTTGGAATCTTCGAAGAACGCTTAATTTTTGGAGAGATTACGTGATTACTCAATTAGGGTTTCATTCAGCAAATTACTATGCACAGTAAAGTTTTTCTCATTCAAGATTCTTGCATTAGTTATTAATACCCATGCTAGACCGTATATTTGTACTAGAAAAGGGAATTTATTCAATCTTAAGTTGCCAACAGTTGGTGACTCATAGTTGTATCATCAAAGCTAAAACAATGTACTTAGTGATTCTTTGGTCCATCCTCGAACCTAAACTGATGTCAAAGTTGCGATCAGATATAATTGTGTTACTGTAGATGCATACCTCAAGGAAAGTGGCGATAACTGATGAGCTCTCTCATCTAGCTAAGTTAGAAAACCATCTAATTTTATTTGATTTAGGTCTTTCAATCTTACCAGTTAAATGACAGAAAACAGCCTTTTTTGTGAACTTTTCCCATAAAGGGTATTGGTAAAGGGGAATGATTTTTATCTTTAATTCAGCAGTGATTGTTATGATGTTATCAAAAGCAAATAAGTTAGATCTCTATTAAATACTTAGTGATATATGTCATTTGCGTGCAAGATATGTTACTGTAGTAAAAGCTTTTATTTTCAAAGATAGATAGCTATTGGACTTCCCTGTTAATTTTAACACATAGTTGGTGGGTTTATGGTTCAATTTTGCCCTGACACTTCAATGCTCTGAAAAGCACGACGTAGTACCATATTGATATTTTAGCATGTAATGTAATGGGAAAAATTTGCGTTTTGGAGTAGCTTAGGTTCTATTTTGTTCTTACCTTTCAGATTGGTATATTTCCAGGTTCCCTGAACGTGGTGATAGGCAAAGCTATTAATGTCGAGCCCCTAAATGCCCAATGTTGCAATTATGCTGAAGAAAAATCCTGCTAAGCTGCTCAAATAACTTCCAAGCGGAGTGATGGATGAGCTGAAAAGATGTGGAGAAATGATTGCCATGGTTGATTCAATGACTGTGAGATCATTTTGTTATGTTTATAACAAGTAATTCTATTTCGAAATGTACTGCATACTCTTTTTTCTGCTTAATACTTGTCATTTCGACCATTTCATATTTGAGACTCTATAGGAAACAACATTTTCCCCCCTGAATCATCTTTGAGCTGATTACTGCCTGCATTTGTCCATATATGTGCTTATGTGCTTGTTCATGATTGTAATGAATGTAAAAGATATTTGAAACCTAAAATACAAAGTCAAATGGGCTTATGTCGCATATTAACGGTAGCCCTAGCACAGTCCATCAGAGGATTTGATCATATGATTGCAGATCACAACATATCAAAGATCGCTGATTACTTCTCATTTTTTCCTGCTCTCTGTAATAGATTTCTTTCCTTTGCTTCAAATCATCACTCTCTAGCGATAAACATATGGTCATCTTGCGAATAGTTTTTGAATATTTTAAGAAGCCATTGCTACGTATGCCCAATAACAAAAAACACTCGATAAAAGTGAAACTAAATGGCTCCCTTGCACGAGGCCTTGGAAACAATATGGTACCGCGTCTATAGACTTAACAGTAAAATCAAACTACTAACACAGGAAAATTAAAACAAAATCTCTCAAGAATAAACGCTTAATATCCCATTGATCACACTCGACGGAAAATCACTGTTACACCGATGGCTTGTCCTTGTTCTCCGCAAAAAGCATCACAGTCCTCCCATTCAATGGTTGTATCGGTCTTGAATTGTTACGGTAAGCTTCTGCAAGAGGTGCCTTCAGAGCATCAACCTGAGCTTGTGACATCTCTCTTATCTGCATCAGTCGACAAGAAACGGATTACTGGAAATATCCCGTACGATTTAGATACACGACGTATCCTGTATGGATTACTCATTTATTATCCATAAACTCTTCTCTTAAGCACAAGATTCCCTATCATTCAATCAAAGTGATCTCCTAGTTTCACGGGGGGACGCCAGTGTGTTACAGGGAGATATCTTAACATTTGAGTGTCTTGTATAGAGAACCTGTGTTCTCTTACAGCAGTACAAATTTTACCTGTACAGCCCGCATACGAGCAAGGAGTTTGTGCCATTTATGAGATGGGTGGGTAGATAATTTGAGGATTTCAACTTCTCCCTTTATGATTCAGGACACTATGTCAGCATGTAGGTTGTTCTGGTAAGATTTGCATTAAAATCCCTAATGTACCGATACAAATAATGAAGATATACATTTACTTGAGCATTACCCAGTCTAAGCGTATATAGATTAAGTGGTTGGCACCTGCAATTAAACCCTAAAGACATGATAGTTAGACATTGATGTTTGAAGTAGAGGACTCCAATCACCTTGCCCATGATGGTCCATGAAATGAACTCAGTGCAAGGCGGTGTCGTAAGAGAGCCTAGGTATCTGAAATACTTTTTGGTCGATCGCCTCAAGGCCTTGTTGTCCACTTTCCCAACGGAGATACGCGCCTCTTGGTTGTCATCGCATTTCTCTTTTTCTAATCGCTTCAAACCCTCCATCAGCTGTAAAAACATTATCCCTTATTATTATTTTTTTGTGTTCTTTAAGAATTTATTGTGCGTCAATATGTTATGTTCTTTACCTGGTTAAGGAATGTGTCTTCATCACCGATTTGATATAGGATTGACACTACAGCAAAAAGTCCATCTTGAGTTCTGTGTACCATTTGTAGCTCCGCTGGAAATCTGAGTAAAAAAATAAATAAATCCCATTAACGTTTGCAGGATTAATAGAAAACTTCACGAGATCTCAATTAGTGACTCCTTGGCGTCTCTGTTGAAATTTCTATGAAGTTCACCTGGACGCAAAAATTGTAGTCATACAACATGACAATTATCTACACACCAGTACCAGCATATACAGATGTTGGCATTGAAAGTTGGTGATGTTCGACTAGGAATTGAAATAAGAGAGGTAATTGTTTTTCATAAGAGCGAAGAGTGATGCAATCCCAGATCACCTTTCTCCGTTCAAAGTGTGCTCAGAGGGTGTGTGCCAATTTAATTGCTGAAGGGAGTAGTTTCTCCCATCAGCAGTAACGCTGCCGACGCCTTCCTCGTATCTCAACTGCAAGATTTCAATAAATCTCATCGCAGAGAAATCAGTCTACAATAAATCTAAGTGGCGGATTTGAGCGGCAAACCTCAACGTTAAAGCCGTTGTTGATGAGCGTAGCCTTTGAGTCAACATAATCTCTTGTCAGAGAACCCAACTTATCGTTTTTATCATCGACCTCTATTTTTGGGATGTCAATTGGAGACTGTTGTTTCCCGGCACCGCACGTCGTCCATTCATGTTTCAGATCGCCCCATTTCTGTGGCCCGTTAGGCCCGTTACCATATCCGAAATCTTGACCTGCTGCAGTATCAGTCACAAATAACGTCACATTCGAGATTTCTTTTTTCTTTTTTTTCTGTCACAAATAATGTCCTACTTCAAAAGTATACATTTTATGACATATGAGAACTACAAGGTGTAGGAAAATAGAAATGATCTGCTATATTCTGTATTGACAAAGAGTGAAGAATCTAGAAGCTCATTGCTAGCTAGTCACATTCAAGATTTAGATGCATATTTCACAAATACTGATGCTCCTCAGCCTATATTCCTCTCTGTGTACATTCAAGATTTAGATGCATATTTCACAAATAATAGATACTATGACATGAGGAAGAAGATCTTATTATTACCGACAGCAGTGAAGGAAGCAAGGAGGGATGTTAATCCCAAGGCGAAGACGATGTATTGAGCTACGATCAACATTGATATCTAGAGATCTATATCGACAATTTAGATTAATTCTATATATGGAAAAAAGTAAGGAAGCGATTGGCTTTAAGTAAGTATCAACATAGGCATAAATAGGGAGTTGAGAATTTTGTGGCAGTGCCTATGCTTAGTCTTCTTCTCCCTTTTATTCAGCTAATTGGAGGCTTCTCTTCCAAACAGTTGGGAGTTAGTTAAAGTCTCCCTTCAAATTCTCTTTGCTAGCTGATTCTGGCCATTGGTTACTTTGAATGCTAAACCCCCTTCGGATGACCAATCTAATGGCTGACATTTTTTTTAGGTGTCATTATGCAGAGTTAAAGGAGATTAAATTTTTTCAGACCCCAATTTGACGAAGTTAAGCTACAAATTCGATGTTCCCATGTTGGCCCAATTAAACACGTGGTCTCAATAGAGATAATGCACCCAGGTTGCTCTAAATTGGATGTCATGAGTTCTAAATTCAATAAACTTTAAGCTCTAGTGTAGATGCAGGTGAAGTGTAGAACGCTTAACAACATAAGCATTATATTGTGAAGCCAACTTGTTGCACTTATTCCTTAATTAAATATGCACATATGTAATTATATTTGGGTTTAAAGGGTTTTTTCATGAAAAACACCTTAATTTTTATTGAAATTGCAACTTAGCATCTTTATTTATTTATTTTATCTAAACCACCTTAGTTTGCTTATAGAGTGGTGTTAGGGGCACACCCCCTACCACACCACCAACCACACCCTCCTCTCCCATCGCTACAGTAAACCAGGCCTCACATGAGATTTTAAAATTTTTAAAATCTCATTGGGGCCCGGTTTACTGTAGCGATAGGAGAGGAGGGTGTGGTTGGTGGTGTGTTAGAGGGTGTGCCCCTAACATTATTTTTGCTTATATGTTCTCAATGTCACACCTCTCTCCAACTCCTCTTCTTCCTCCATCTCTTCCACCATCTCTTGAACCTCTAGGGTTTCTTCAAACCCTAATTTCTTTTCTCCTCTCCTACCCCTCCACCAATGGCCCCCTCCACCTCCTCTTTACCTCTCCACTTCCCCTCCCCATCCTCCTCCAGCTCCTCCATTATCTCCTTCATTTCTAGAGTTTCTCCAAACCCAAATCTCTTTCCTCCTATTCTTCCCCTTCACTTCCCTTACCCTCTCCCCTCCTCCTCCATTCTCATCTTCCTCATCTCCTTCCCCCCTTCCCGCCTTCCCTCCTTACTTTACACTCTTGCCGTCAACCTCCTTCTCTCCTCCTCTCCCGCCACCGACCCCACCAACTGCTCTCCCCTCTCCCCATCCTCTCCTTTTTTTTCCTCTTGGGTTAGACTGAGGTTAGACTGAGGGGTACTAATATTTTGTTTAAAATAGAAAATACCTAAAAGTGTGACACTGAGAACATGTAAGCAAATTAAGGTGGTTTACATAAAATAAATAAATAAAGGTGGTAAGTTATAATTTATGTATAAGTTAAGGTGGTTTTCATGTAAAAACCATAACATAAATGGACTACTAAAATATTGTTAGAATATAACCTCAAATATAAAAGTAAGGATTAGCCCTACTTGGTAGTTAAGTTATGTTGTTTTAGTAGCAATGAATGGTTGTGGACCAAAAAAGTAAGTCAATTCCTTAAGTATAAGATCCTGCCTCTCTTTTGACGGGAAAGTACCAAAGCATGATCGAAGACTTAGATAGCTAAAACGGAATGAGAATGAGAATAAAATAATAGTAATCTTGGGAGTAAATCTAGAATTAGGTTCCAATGGGAAATAGAAAGAAGACAAGAGAGAGCATAATCTGTGTCAATCATGGGATACAATATGCTTAACTAGGGTCAAACGTGTCACCTTGTTGAAACCAAACACCAATAATTAGCTCATCTTCATAGTCTCATCATTTGAGCTATTGAGTATGGCTTTTGAACAGACTCAATGCAATCAGAGCCTAAAAAACTAACGGAAGTTGATTTTTCCCCTCTTAAAGGAAAGAAAAACAAAGAATTTCATGTCTCTGTAACAGTGTTTTCCCTTGTTTCATTAAGCAGATTATAATGAAACCGATAGGCCATGTAGTGTTAAATAGCAAGTTCCTAATATATTTTCTAATTTATTTTGGTAACAGGTTATTGGGATTCCTAATATGTTTTGGTAACATGATTGCTAATCTGTTTTGGTAACAAGTTATTAGGATTCCTAATCTGTTTTGATTTTGGTTTTAGAATTCCTAGTAATCTGTTTTGGTAACAAGTTATTAGGATTCCTAATCTGTTTTGATTTTGGTTTTAGAATTCCTAGTATGCTTTTGGTTTTAGGATTTCTATATATATAGGAACACGTTTTAGGTTTGGAGAGCAGCGAATGAGATATTTGGAGCACAGAAAAGAGGTATTTTCTGAGCTATTGATTAGGGTTTTGTTTGGAGAGAATTAGAAATTTGTTGGTGAGATTAATTGGTGAGTTTGTGTGATTTTGTAATATCAGTTTGTACTCTTCTTCTCTATTAGTGAAAACCTCATCCCCTTCTTACCCCGTGGACGTAGACAACTTGCCGAACCACGTTAAAATTGGTTGTTTGAGTTTGTACCGTTATTTTGCATTGTTTGGCATTCTCTCGGTGTTTGTTTGATTTGGCCTCTCGAAGCACATCGATTTGGTTTTGGCTTCCGCCGCGCACAACAAGTGGTATCAGAGCTCAACAAGTGATATCAGAGCACAACAAGTGGCAGAGCTCGGACTATGCTTGGGCTATTTGGAGGAGTAGATCTCTTTGGAAGTTCGTCTAGGGTTTCAGTTGGTGATAAATGTGAGATTTTCCTATTTGTGGATCTCGTTTCTGTCGTGTGGGGTGAGATCTTTCAGAGACTCTTATTAGGGTTTCAATTGGAGGTAAAAATCTCTCCTTTATCAGTTTAGATCTATTCTTCGTTTGTTCTGCATTGGTTTGTTGGTGCTTTGGGATAGATGGCCGAGAAAGAAGGAGTTGAGGCTGAGATTTTGAATTATCGAGAAGTGCTTTGACTTGCATATTGAAGTCCTTTGAGCATATTGGTATGAGCAAGGAGACCGAGGTGGAGTTTGGCACTTCTATTCGACGATTGAGGGGTCTTCTAGGTGGTGTTCATTCAGACATTTGGGGACCTTTCAAGGAGACATCATTGGAAGGTAATCGATATTTGGTTTCCTATGTTGGGGATTGTACTAGGTATTTGTGGGTTACAACCAAGTCCCGTTGGTTTGAAGTCCTAGTAGTCAATAACAGTTAGAGAAAGTGAATTGGCAGAAAGGGAATTCGTTGTTCTAATATTAGTAGGGGCTCTTTCTTGAATCTGTGCCGAGCTCATGGCAGTTGGAGACACTTCATTGGAGAGGAAACATTGGGAAAATGAGATGAGATGACATTTTTGATTGGTCGTTACTTTTTGGAGGTGGATCGGCGTTTGATGTCGAGCATTGGTTTTGGTGTTCGGGCTTTGACATATTTGGGTCATCTTAGTCATAAGTTACCGACTACTGCGTTTAGAGATTTTGGATCTGGTGGAGCTGTTTTCGATTTTGGGTTGCGTCAGATATTTAGTTGCTCAACATTTGGTCACATCGAGGATGTGAGATTTGATCCGATTGCATATTTGGGATTCAGAAGCTCGTTTGATTATCAGTTAGGAGACTCTGATTTGGTTCTGAGCAGGTATGTCACTTATGACTCTCGACAGGTGGAAAATATTGATCAGATCGTTGGGATATCACAACGGGTGGAGGGTGATGCTACTCCACGTTAGATGGAGATTACTCCACATACTCCAGATCATACCGTATCGTTTGAGATTCCAGCTGAGGCGACACCGTTTGAGGATCATCTGGATTTGGATGCAGATGATGAGTTGGTTGATTCGAGTGCAACTGGTGGACATAGTTTCGATTTGGATATGGTCGTTAGTTCATCTCAAGTGGAGGTGTTTGGATTGTTTCACTTTGGAGCCATTAGGAGAGCTATCAACCACATATTTGGTGATGATGTTGGAGAAGGGTTATGAACTCTTCTATTGGATTGAGGGTCTTTGGAGGCTATTTGGTGAACTACGTAAAGGCTTGATTCCTTATGCAAGAGGATACGTAAGTAGTTATTTATGATGCAGCCGGTTTGGTGAGTTGATACCGATATTTGGAGAGTGTTCACATTCTCGTTTGGGTCTCGACTTGTTATGGATTGAGTCCGTTGTCGTGGATTTGTTCCACTTCGTACTGAAAGCAACAAGTGGGATGTTTGATTGGTATTGGTGTCGGCTCAGTTTTGGAAACACTTCGCCGATGTGGAGAATTATTGAATAGCAAGTTCCTACTATATTTCCTAATTTATTTTGGTAACAGGTTATTGGAATTCCTAATATATTTTGGTAACAAGATTCCTAATCTGTTTTGGTAACAAGCTATTAGGATTCCTAATCTGTTTTGATTTTGGTTTTAGAATTCCTAGTATGTTTTTGGTTTTAGGATTTCTATATATATATAGGAACACGTTTTAGGTTTGGAGAGCAGCGAAGGGGATATTTGGAGCACAGAAAAGAGTTATTTTCTGAGCTATTGGTTAGGGTTTTATTTGGAGAGAATTAGAGCTTTGTTAGTGAGATTAATTGGTGAGTTTATGTGATTTTGTAATCTCAGTTTGTACTCTTCTTCTCTATTAGTGAAAACCTCATCCCCTTCTCGCCCCGTGGACGTAGGCAACTTGCCAAACCAAGTTAAAATTAGTTGTTTGAGTTTGTGCCGTTTATTTGCATTGTTTGGCATTCTCTCGGTGTTTTTTTGATTTGGTCTCTCGAAGCACATCGATTTGGTTTTGGCTTCTGCCGCGCACAACAAGTGGTATCAGAGCCCAACATGTAGGAGATATAATTTTAGGAACTTGGCACTTCTAATGTGCAATATTTGATATATTGATGTTTTCATAATAGAAGATTTTGAATTACATCCGTACAACTATGTAGATGGTGAGCTCGTGATAAATTCTATTCTAGCTAAATTTTCTTCTGTTTACTATTAATATTGAGACCTACTGAGAAATCGGCTCATAAATGGCATGGACGCTGATCAATCCAAGAAGACATGAACA